AGATTGTCATCTCTCACCTGGATTAATCAATGAGTTCCATAACTAGCTCCCTGCCTCCAGTCTTTTCGTCAATTCATTTTCTACTTGGCAGCCTGAGAAAATTTGCTAACGTGCAAATATGGTCATGTCACTCTGAAATTGAATCTCTTTAAATGGCTTTCTATTGCCTTTGGGATTGAGTCTTTACTCATTACTATGGCTGACCAGAACTTTTTAAAAGAATAACTGGTCCTGTCTGTTTCTCCAGCCTCATTTCTCGACACTCCACACTCTGCTGAAAAGCCCTAGTTGTCTTCTCAGTTTCACCAGTAAGCCATTGTTCTATAGTTTTACTTCCACATTTCTTGTGGGCTCTGCCTGTCCCATTCATCACATCATCACATTACAGGGTCTACCTAGCACAGTCCCCGATATAACAAGCATTTCAAAAGACATGTTTTGAGTTTAATAAATGTATAAATATTGGATGAGAGGGTATAAATTTAAGTATTTTCTAGAAGCTGGATATGTACTAATTGAGAAGCAGTAAAGTGAAAGTCTGTAGTCTAGTACCTAAAGTCTACAGTAATTCAGAACGATGGTCAAATTTCTGTTCCACCACCTTGGGTCAATTTCTTTACTTCTCTAAACCTGTTTCCTCATCTTCAAAATGACGATATAGTATCTACTTCAAATAGATACTGAGAGGATTAAACAAAGAAACCTAAGTAAAATATTCAGTACAATGTCTGGCATATAAGTGTTTAATAAATACAATCCAGCAACAATGATTACAGTGATCATGATACACTGTCTCCAAATGGATGTCCCATTTTGTATGCCAAACCTATTATAGTGTGTACCTGTTTCAATAAGCCTTGATAGTTGCTATTAGCAATTAAAAATACCTCTTATTGCCTGCAATAAGATAGGCAAAAATTTCATACTTCTTTGATTAATAGTAATATACCTATTATTAGACATTCATGGGATTTATACATTTTGGCTTTCTTTAAAAACTGATTCAATGACATCTTCATGCATGTTACTTTTTTTCCTCTTCCTAAAAGTTTCCTTCAGAAAATTTCCAGGAATAGAACTGTGGGTATCACATTCACATTTTCCTCGCTTTCAATAGATATTGGTAGTTTGCTTTTTCTATAAATACAGACTATTCTAATTTTAAGATCCCTCTTTATACCCTGATTCTTCTACTTGTTTTTCATTAAAAATGAAAAATATAATCATGCTTTTCTGTGTATCTTTTATGTACTTGGCACAATGATAACTTTGGACAGTAACTTGTTTCTAGATTATTAATGACTACTTGTCATCCTTTCTCACAGCGATATGAAAGAATTAGTGAGGTGATGTGTAACATGTATAAAATCCAATGCACTATACGAATACATATAAGATTGTTTTCATAGTCAGGAATTTGTATGTTTTCTTTACCAAATACACAGAGAGTACTAATTTCTGCAAAACATAGTTACTTAAGACAGCAGCAAAATCAAAGAATAGTTCTATGTAATATAGTATATGTACTATACTTGTTTTCTAGTGATATCAAGGAGAGTGTTTAATTTTGAATGCTACCCTGAATAAAATTGGGTTTGTCAAAGAAAAGGGTAGAATGGATATTGACTATGATACTTGTGTTATCTGCCATGGATGTAAATATGTACGTAATTTTTCATTAGTAAAAATACCATGTCATTTCTTTTAATTCCAAATTAAACTTACTGAATACTATGTCCTTAAGCATCTATCTCATCTGAAACCAAACCAAACCAGAAGAAACAAATGTAACCCAGCTTCTCAAATCTGTTATTTCTCCTGTTCTTCAGATTTTTTGCTTTGTTTTGTTTTTGTTTTTTAGTGCTTAGTATCACCCAGGAATTTGAAATCTGCAGATATAGTAGTAGATTTTGACAGAGAAAATCTGGTTGATACTGCTTTTAATCCCTAAAGCATTCCCATTGACATATTTTATATACTGGAGGAAAAAATAAAGAATTCTAAAATACAGAGTCCCTTTTCTTCTTCTAGTGTGAATAAAAATCATTGCTTTCATTATTAGCTAATTAGTTAACTAATAGGCTAATATTTTAGATCAAGAAGTACCTGGGCTACCTCTGTCATTAAAACCTTCTTAGTGTGATTTATGAATTTAAAACATATATTGTATATATTGGATCCTAATTCTATCTGTTTAAGTCTAATGGAGGGTCAGAGATCAGTTCCAGACCTGAAAAAAACTTGGAGAGCAATTACCCTTAAAAGATGTGAAGTTTTTTTTCTTTTCAAAAACTTACAGATTATACAACTTTGCTTAATATATATTGTTAGAAGTCTTACAAGTTTTCCAACTAAGGGTTTAATTCTCTCATGTTCAGGAAAATAATACTAGATATAAAAAATCATTTAATCATGAAGATACTGGGTATTTGGTATGTTTTAGAGCTTCAAAAGCAAAATTCAATCATATGGCATGTAGAGCTAAAACATAACTTAGCTCATTAGTACCAATAGAAATTCCTTCTTTCTATTCATGTAATTATTCCCTTCCTTTTCTCATAAAAACTCCTTTGCCTTACTCCAGAATCAAAACACTGATTCTGCCTGAATCAATGCTTCTGGAATAACTATTCTTTGATCTCAAATAAAAGCTTGCTGCCTCTCTCTTTGGCTTTTTATTTTTAAGGTTAACAACTCTCTACAAAACTTTTTAGACAAAGGCTCAAAGCATTTTGGTAGTGATTTACAGCATGTATTCATCTGATAAAGACTCATTTTTTTAGGTTTTTTTTTTTTTTTTGCCTAATATGAGCTCATGGATCCTCAGTATATGAATAAACATACAAGCAAGATCTAATGTTTCTCAGCCAAAGACGGAAGTAAATGGTAAATTTTTTTTTCCCCTTAAAAAGCCAAATCGGCATCATGTGGCAAGTAGAGAAGTGAATGAAGCTAGAGTGTCTTCATGGGGCACTCCTCACACAGATAGGAGACAGCACGTCTTCAGTAGGTTTTAGCAGGAAGAGAGCTGGGTTTAGCTGTCTGGATGCGGGCCACTGGACCCTCTCTTTTATAGGGCTGTGTGGGTATGTATAGTTCTGATTTCTACCAGAGTGGCCAGACATTTGAGACACAGCCTCCCGGGCACAAGTTCCCAAGGACTAAAATAATAGCTAAGAGCCAATCGCACTCACGCATTTCAAACATTATCCAGTTGCATAGCTAGCTTTGCACTAAGGCCTAAGGTTTTACCACCTGTAGCGTCTGATAGCTAAAGAAAACCATCTTCCCAAAGTGGCAATTTTGGAGGCTTACCCTGGGGACTCCTACTTACATATAGTTTTAGAAATATAAATTCAAAAGTTATATATCTTCCTTCCTCCCTCCCTCCCTCCCTTTCTTCCTTCCAGTTTTGCTGTGGATAAAATCCAGCTATATTCAAAATTTCTGCTCAGTTAAATCCTAGTTCATTGTTAGGATCTACTAAAAATAGTAAATGTTTAATATATAACATAAGGATTCTGCTAATTAAATATTACAAATTAAACCTAACAGATGTAAAGTTGACTCGAGCAACTAGAGGCAGAAAAGCCTATTTGATTTTTAAAAATATGAGTCAAATAAATCTCTATAAACAAGTATTCTTTGAAGTATTTATTGATCTTGTTGATCATTAGTATTTTGATCATTGGTATTGTGATTGCTAAGAATGAATGAAACAATTTCAATTTACTGCGTGAGCTAAAAACAATGTAATGGCTCTTGGGTAAGTTTATTTTCCAGAGTTTACGTACTATAAAAGAAAGTCTTAAAATGACTTAAATACTCTTCCTCGATACATATATTTAAACTACGGCACGCATTGCTTTAAAGAAATCTACCATGCTTTAAATACTGGAGAGCTTATCTTTTGTCCGTGGGAGTGTAAGCAAGAGAGCCCTGGGTAATAAGGCGGATGAAGAGAGTTGGGAGGAAAAGGGGCGGAAAGGAGGGTGGAGCCGCCGTCTTTCTAGGTCAGGGTTAGTTCGCGGGTACTAGAATCTGGAAAAGGTGAACGCAGGAATTTGGTTGTTCCTTGTTATCTCAAGATGGAAGTCCAGGCTCTCGGGCTTGTGCAGACTGCGAACGGAGCGCTTGACTTCCCTTCCCTCGCATCTTCCCAGGTGGCCGTGGGTTTAGGAAGGAGGTGGCAAGGCGGAGGCCCTTGGTCCTCGCCCGAGCCCTCCGCATCCCTGTCCCAAGGCTGGGATGGTCTCGCCCACCCTGGGTAAATTCCCAGAGGGCCCGCGCCGGCCTGGGTGTGCAAACGGGATTCTGCGAATGTCGACATTAAAGGAAGACGCAAATTCAGCGTCGTAGTCCCCGCAGCTTACCCGCACCTATTTTTGTATCTAAGCCAAGGTCACTCTTTAATACCGAACCATTGCCCTGAGCCGGGGCGTCGCGCTCCGCTTGGTGACGGCGGACGGGGCGGAGAGAGGGGCGCGGGTGGCGAG